TTTCAGAAACCAGGATAGACAGATGTCCTACCAAAGGAGACCATCTGACAGTGTGGGAGGGATTGGCTCTCGCCCAGGAAACTCTTCAGATGACAGTTCACATCTGCTGCCTAGTGTTCTGAAGTTACTATGCCTCTCTAATGAAGCTATCTGAAGAGTAGAGGCTTCTAATAACCAACTTCAGTTTGTCTTTGTTACGGCTGTAAGTATGACATTAACTAGAAGAGCAGAGATCAAATCACCATTTGGAGGTTTATCAAATCCTTTATAAGGAGAAATTAATATACTTCTAAGAGAGGGTACAGATTACTTTTTGGATGCACTTTTATTTTCATTTTAAAAAAAACACTGAAGCATTTACCTTCATAAAGGCCTTATGAAACCATTTTAAGTTGATGATGTTAACTGTGGACTTGAGTATGCACTGGTAATTGGAAAACAGACAACAAAATAAAAAACAGCGTATGTCACTGAAGTATCTGTTTTCAGTTTCTCCTTCACACTCACCCCTACACTAAGCCCTGTTGAATCTGTCTGTGAATGGTCTGAAACCTCTTTTTGTCCATTTCTGTTTTTCATGTTTAGTTATCATCCATTGCCTGAGTAGTTCTCATCCCTAACTGGTTCCTCCTTCTGCCTCAGGTCTCATCTTTTTCTTTGAAACAAGGTCTTGCCTTATCACCCTGGCTTGAATGCAGTGGTGTGATCATAGTTTCCTGCAGCCTCCAGGTCTGGGCTCAAGCAATTAATTCTCCTACCTCAGCCGCTTAAGTAACTGGGACTAGAGACAACGTACCACCAGGCCCACCTAATTTTTTTTTTTTTTTTTTTTTTTTTGTAGAGACAAAGTCTCACTTTGTCGCCCTCGGTAGAGTGCCGTGGCATCACACAGCTCACAACCCCCACCTCCTGGGCTTAGGCAATTCTCTTGCCTCAGCCTCCCAAGTAGGTGGGACTACAGGCACCTGCCATAACGCCCAGCTATTTTTTGTTGCAATTTGGCCCAGCCGGGTTTGAGCCACCACCCTCAGTATATGGGGCCGGTGCCCTACTCACTGAGCCACAGGCGCCGCCCTTTTTTTGTTTGTTTTTATAGAGATGGTGACAGGGTCTTACTGTGTTGCCCAGGCTGGTCTCAAATACCTGCCCTCAAGCAATTCTCCTACTTCAGCTTTCTAAAATGCTGGGATTATAGGCGTCACCCACTGCTCCTAGTCCTCATCCTGTTATCCTCTATCAGTTTTCCTTGTAAAACAAAGCACTGATCTATCATTTCCCATCTTCAAATTTTTCAAAACTCTGAACTGTTCACAGAGATTAAAACAAGTGGCTATTCACCGAAACTGTGCCCACAGTTCTGTTTTATTTAGCCTATCTAGTTTGTTTGTTTGAGTTTTTTTTTTTGCAGTTTTTGGCCGGGGCTGGGTTTGAACCCGCCATGTCTGGCATATGGGGCCGGCCCTCTACTCCACTGAGCCATAGGCACCACCCAACCTGTCTAGAATTTCTATTTTATTAAGCCAACATTTAAAAAGAGATTTGACGTAAAAATATGAATTTTGGCTTTTCTTGACAAAACCAAAGGATCTGACAACCTCAGGCTCCACACATCAACAGTCCACTGGAGCTGAAGAGGGGCTATGTCTCTGCAAGGCCCCATTTCATTCATTGCCTGGGACTGAGTGCCGCTGCCCCTGGACAGAGCATGCAGGCTCTTAACTCTCTGGGGCACCTGTGGGTGATTGCCACCCTGCACAATTGGCTTCTCAAAGCCTGGCTACATCCATTGCCTGTCCTCCTCTCTTGAACTGTAAAGGACTCTTCCCTGTTGTACTACAACTCAGATACCTTTTTTATGTGTATTATGGCCCTCTCTCTTAAGTTGAAGCCTTCAGGACAACTATAGATAGTCCCTCACCTAAATTTGACTGTAATTTCTAGGAGGGCATATTTCTTGACATAACCCATCTTATGGGCTTTTCCTAAAGCCCCATGGTTTTTTATGCATCTTTCCCCTTTGACATACTGTTCCCACTCTCTGAAAAACCTTCCTTCATCTTCCCAGTAGTTCTTGTTCCTCCCAGTTTCCCATTCAAACTCCTGTCTATCCATCAAAACTGATCTCAGATATTACTACCTCTATAAATCCTTTTCTAACTCTTTCAGGCGGAATGGATTCTGTGTTTCTGCACTCCCTTAACACTTGCTCTATATGCCTCACCCCTCACCCCAAACTTAAAGTACATTGAGTTATCGAGAATGTCAGCAATTTGAGGAAAAGGGTTATTTATTATAGCCTTATCACCCAACCCGTCAGGACAAGCAAAGAAAGAGTTGTTGAATGAATTTGATAAAATCAGACATACAGTGGTTACATGCTAAACATTGGTTAGCTTTGTAAACGTCAGTTACACGTGTCTTCAGTACTTACAATTTAAGGTTGTAGGGAAGATGGCAGCAAATCCCACGGTTGAGCATGATGGAAGAATTCACTACTTTAGAATGATCATGTTCTGACCCACAGTCCCTCAGAATGTTTTGATACATTCTGTATCAAATTTTTTTCTATAACTCATCAATTCATTCTTTGTTGCTCCCTATTTCCCACCATTCCCCAAATCTCACATATTCTTTCTTTTCCCCAATTCAGGCATTCACATACTATTTCTTGTTTTATTCACAGAGGACTGGTTTTTAAGTTTGGCCGCACTGAAGACTTATGGCAGTGAAAACCTCTGACGTCCTACAGCACAGCAGCCCTGCATGGGTTCTTGTTTTTATTTTTTACTGCTCACTCCCAATTTTTTGTAATGCCATTTTCTAAATCTATTTCTGAGTGTAGTCTCAGCTTAAAGTTGTGTAAGACTAAAATCATGAGATCCCCCCATTACCCAGCAAGTCTGTTGCGGTATACACTTTACTAACTTATAAAATGTTAATGAAAACTATTTCGCAGAGTAACTTTGTCAAGTTTTATCATGGTATCATTTGTAAAAAATAAAAAGAAATTACAAAAGACATTATGGATTCATCAATACGAGTAGACCTCATACCTGAGGTCTAAAACTACATGCAAGTGCTCTGAAGATTTCATGTTTATTCGTGGCCTTTTCTGTGTCAAATGTTAAATGAAATATAAACGTTTTCTTGTTTTTAAAAATGATTCAGTGGTCAAAATTCTTTCTCAGTATACTTGGTGTTCAGTTTCTGTTGTTTTATCAAAAATTCTGCAAAAATGCAACATTAAGTAGCTTTTGAGGGTTTCCCAAGGGGTGAGTGGGCATGTCAGAAGAGAGAAGCCCTGGGGTCCATCTACCAGGCGTTCCGTGTCCTTTCCATGGGAAGCTCTTCCATTGTGCTGTATATGCGGGAGCACAGGGGGTGGAACCCAGTCAAGCCATGACACATGGTTCTAGTGGGACACTAACAGTCCCTCTGTTGGTTTAGCCAAACTAACTCCATCTTGAAAAGCCAGTATGTGAGGCTCTGTGACAGGTGGATATAACTTAGATAAGAGAACAACATGCTACAGGCTCGTCTTTGCACCAGCCCAATTATAGACTAGCCCGGTTACAGACCCACCTGAGAGAAGGACCTGCCAGGAGAGTCCCCAAAATGAGATAACCTCTTTGACATCCTGAGGAGAATAATAGGTTGGTGGTCCTTGATAAAAATCAGCTCCCCCTGGGTCACCTGTATAAAGCTGGCCTCCCTCCCCAAACCCCACTCATATCCTTTAGCTCTTAGCCCACCCGCACCCAAGCGTCCAAGTAATGCTGCCTTTGTTACACTTTGGTCTCCAGTGTTCTGATCCACTCCTTTTTTCAGTTTTTACCTATCATCTCCCACCCCCACAGTTGAAGGAAAGAAGAAAAAGGAGTTGACGCTAGTCTCTTACTCAGGTGACTGTTCTGTTTGATTTTATCTGTGTACTGAACCAGTAAGCTCTCAAATGATCAGCTAGGTTGGCCACAAACATTAGCTACTAGGAACTCCCATAGTCTGTTCCTCTTTGGAACTCTTGTCCCTTCAGGCTCCCCACCCTGGCAAAATGGGCTACATACTCTTCCGAACTATAGCTTGAGACAGCTTTCATAAAATGTGCTACAATGAGCCTAACACTAAACACAAAATATATCTTGGGTGATTTAGATGGACAGAACTCTTGCATGTCAGTTACCATTATCTGTCAATCTGTATGTTTTGCTTGGTGCCTGGTGAGAAGGATGCTATTCAAAGAAATGACTGTCTTGTCAGTAACCCACATAAAACCACTCATTTTTTTCTTTAACATAGGTCTATAGAATGTGAAAATTGAGATCTTAGAGTTAAAGTCTACCCTCTCTTTTTACACAGAAGGGAGCCCAAACCATTGAAACGTAAATGATATCCTTAAGGTCTGAGAATTAGTTTTTGCTTTCGGGTTTTTTTGCAGTTTTTGGCAGAGGCTGGGTTTGAACCCGCCACCTCCAGCATAAGGGGCCGGCACCCTACGCCTTTGAGCCACAGGCGCCGCCCTGAGAACTAGTTTTTTAACCTGTGGCGGTGCATCCCCACCCTCTAACTCTTTCCCTCCCATGTAAGTGGGAATATGCTCAAGGAATACTGACTACCTTGTAAAGCTGTTGGAATAAAAGCATTATGTCTGCAGCGACTAGAAGATATAATTGAATTCTTCATTTTCCTATTTTGTATTACACGCTCAGTTGATATAAACAAGAGTTACCTGGGTAGCACACTTTATTAACTACCAGAATTTAAGATTGTGAAGAAAACTGAACCAAAACTTCGTATGTCTACAGCCAAGAAAATACCAATAGGATCACCTTTAATGAAACCAAACATGTTTATTTAAAACGATGAATTGAATTACCTCTTCAACAAGTTTTTAGTCCTTTCTTTTTAATATCAAATCTTTCTCCAGCCTTGTTTCATGGCACACGAGGAGACTTTGCTGTAGTGAGTGTTAAATACAAACAAAGGTGGGCAACAGTGAAAGTTGTCTTGTTTTCGAACAGGGTTGGTTTTTCTCGGATGCTTTTGCTTAAAGGTCAACAGCCAAATGAGGAAACTGTAAAAGCAAAGCAAACATTCTTATTGCAGATGAACCTTTGTTCTCCTAAAATGTGTACA